GTGTGGACAGTCAAACGATTGACGCAATACTTGCAAGCTCACCCCGTCCATATTTTGTCACACCAACCTCTAGGCGCGCTGATGAGGAGTCCCACAGCATCATCAAGGATGGTCAAATGGGCAGTATACCTTAGTCAATTCCACATAGAAGTGAGGCCTTGCCCTTCAGTCAAGGGACAAGCTCTGGCGGATTTCATTGTGGAATGCACAACACGTAAAGAAGCGACGAAGACAAGGCATGAAGACCATGATTTCGAGTGGTGGATACTGTCCACGGACGGCTCCTCCGCGGCCAAATCTTGTGGCGGAGGAGTGGTCCTCACCACGCCCGAAGGCTTTAGGGCCTACTATGCCATCCGGTTCAATTTTAAAGTATCTAATAATGAAGCGGAGTATGAAGCTCTGTTATGTGGTTTGCGCCTAGCGGCGAACATGCGAGCGGAGAAGGTAAAGATCCGATGTGATTCAAAGCTAGTTGTGGGACAAATCACAAGCGAATTTGAGGCATTAGAGGAACGCATGAGGTAGTACCGCGATGCTGCATTGGAACTCTTAAAATTGTTCATAGCTTATGAGATTGAACAAATTCCGAGGGGACAGAACGTTGAGACCGACATGCTGTCCAAAATCAGTGCAGAGACCCTTAAGAGGATCTCAAGGATCGCAAGAGTGGAAGAACTAGACACTTCTAGCATATATGTGTGCCCGATGCACACCATAATTGCTAGAAACGAGGACTGGATGGACCACCTCATCAAATATATTTGTGAGGGTGTACTGCCTCCTGAGGAGGTTGACACCAAGGTGATCAGGATGAGGGCGCCAAGTTATACGATTTTGAATGACGTGCTATATAAAAAGTCTTACAATGGCACACTCCTCAAGTGTCTACGACCGAATGAGGCCATGGCTGCCATGGAAGAGATACACGCAGGAACATGCTCAACGCATCAAGGGGCGCACACCATGTCACGAAAGGTAATTCTACAAGGATTCTTCTGGCCAACCATTGTAAAAGATTGTGCAGTCTTTGTTAAAAGGTGTGTCGTGTGCCAAGAGTTTCAGAAATCTCTAGGACGCCCAGCAACGCATTACACCCCCATCAGCATGACCATACCATTCACTAGATGGGGAATCAATCATATCGGGGCCTTGCCGAGGGGGATCGGGAGCGTGAGATGTGTTATTGTGGCCATAGACTACTTTACCAAATGGATCGAAGCGATACCTTTGGCGAGCATCACCGAAGGACAATGCAGAAAATTTGTCATGAAACACATCCTCTGTCATTTTCGGAGTGCCCCAATAAATCATAACCGATAATGGGAGGCAATTCGGAGCATCTGGGTTTAATGACTTTTGTGAGAGGTGGGGAATCAAACACAGCAGTGCATCGGTCGCTTACCCTCAAGCGAATGGGCAGGTGGAGAATGCAAATCGCACACTTATGGATGGTCTGAAGAAAAAGCTCATAGCAGCCGGAGGCGAGTGGGTTGAGGAACTGCCACAGATACTCTGGGCATACAGGACCACGCCGAGGAAGGCAACCGACGAGACACCATTTGCCCTTGCCTACGGTGTTGAGGCGAGGGCGCCAGCTGAGGTAATGTTCCGTAGCCATCGAGAAGAAGAGTATGATCCGGAAATAAATGAGGAAATCATGACAACCGAACTTCATTTCATTGAAGAAAGAAAAGAAGCGGCCTTCTGCCGCGCAGAGAACTATCGAAGGCAAGTCCAGGCATACCACGACTCTCGGGTACGCAAACGAAACTTTGACGTCGGAGACTATGTCTTGAGGAAAAGAGAAGTGAGTAAATCCGTGGAAGGCGGAATTTTTTCAAAGAATTATGAAGGTCCTTACATCATAAAATCAGTGATCCGTCTGGGGACCTTCAAACTTCAGACACCTAAAGGGAAGGAGATCGAGAGGACCTAAAATGCTGAGCACCTAATCAAGTTCTACCAGTAATATACTTCTTTTAGTGTTTTATCTCACCAATATAATGCAAGTTCAACATCTACTCATCAATAAAGTACTATGGTGTGCACGGTCTGTTACCGTCACCATTACTATGAGAACGTTTCGCACAAAAAAAACACCCTCCGTGGTCACTATGGGAGGATATTCTAGTACAGTATTGATAATAATAAAAGCTTGGGCGACACTCAATGTGTTACCATAAAAAGAGGAGTATGCCATGGGCATGTTCCTTACAATGCCTAACCCTGGGGTTGTATGGTCAGGATGCGTATATAGGAATCCCTAGGCGCGACCATGTTTCCCGAAAGACGTTGTGTGCCCTGTGCAAACCTAGTCATCAGGTTCGCTCACTCAACATGGCTCTGAGGTCACTGCTGAGTGATGCGCACAACGTAGCAAAGGAGGAGTCCCCGACAACTTGTGCCTTTTGCTGTCCATGGTAACCCCCTAGTTATGTACGGTGCCGTCATTGTGAACCCGAGAGTTCTCATATCCAACATCGGGAGAAGTTTGGGGAGGGGGAGACGCCGAGTTCTATGCTCAGCGCTATACCGTCAAATAATACAAAAAAAAAATGACCGTACACACCCCATTTGTGCAGGGCGCGATGTGCATCGTGATCACCCGTATAGGTAACAATATTTTAAAAAAACGATATTAAAAGGAAATATTACATTGTCAAGATAATTGTTTGCTTGAAATTCAAAAAACGGTCTCACAAATTAGGTACTAAAGAAAAAGAAAAACATGCAGACCATGTTATGGTAGTCTAACTCTAACACTCTCCAAGGCATGGAGATGGTTAAAGAGGGGATCGCTCAACCTAAAGCCCCAGCATTACTACTACTTCGGAAGTTATGGGGTGATCAGGACCTGCACCCCTAGGGAGCTCGCCCAAGGGAACGACTCTGGAAGAAGAGTCTACATTCTCAGGCCCTGGATTAGGAATCTCAAAGGGAAGCCCCCAATCGACAATGCATGAGGCGCCGTGCTTGACCTTCAAAACAGCATAAATTTCCTGTTGTTTGGTATATTCCCCCAAATTGTAGCATAGTAAACCGTCTTTGTCAAGTCTATCGACGCCGGCAGGAGTTTTCAGCCAACGTTCATCGATGTCTTCTAGGTGTGTATGTGTATGTGTATGTGTATGTGTATGTGTATGTGTATGTGTATGTGTATGTGTATGTGTATGTGTATGTGTATGTGTATGTGTATGTGTATGTGTATGTGTATGTGTATGTGTATGTGTATGTGTATGTGTATGTGTATGTGTATGTGTATGTGTATGTGTATGTGTATGTGTATGTGTATGTGTATGTGTATGTGTATGTGTATGTGTATGTGTATGTGTATGTGTATGTGTATGTGTATGTGTATGTGTATGTGTATGTGTATGTGTATGTGTATGTGTATGTGTATGTGTATGTGTATGTGTATGTGTATGTGTATGTGTATGTGTATGTGTATGTGTATGTGTATGTGTATGTGTATGTGTATGTGTATGTGTATGTGTATGTGTATGTGTATGTGTATGTGTATGTGTATGTGTATGTGTATGTGTATGTGTATGTGTATGTGTATGTGTATGTGTATGTGTATGTGTATGTGTATGTGTATGTGTATGTGTATGTGTATGTGTATGTGTATGTGTATGTGTATGTGTATGTGTATGTGTATGTGTATGTGTATGTGTATGTGTATGTGTATGTGTATGTGTATGTGTATGTGTATGTGTATGTGTATGTGTATGTGTATGTGTATGTGTATGTGTATGTGTATGTGTATGTGTATGTGTATGTGTATGTGTATGTGTATGTGTATGTGTATGTGTATGTGTATGTGTATGTGTATGTGTATGTGTATGTGTATGTGTATGTGTATGTGTATGTGTATGTGTATGTGTATGTGTATGTGTATGTGTATGTGTATGTGTATGTGTATGTGTATGTGTATGTGTATGTGTATGTGTATGTGTATGTGTATGTGTATGTGTATGTGTATGTGTATGTGTATGTGTATGTGTATGTGTATGTGTATGTGTATGTGTATGTGTATGTGTATGTGTATGTGTATGTGTATGTGTATGTGTATGTGTATGTGTATGTGTATGTGTATGTGTATGTGTATGTGTATGTGTATGTGTATGTGTATGTGTATGTGTATGTGTATGTGTATGTGTATGTGTATGTGTATGTGTATGTGTATGTGTATGTGTATGTGTATGTGTATGTGTATGTGTATGTGTATGTGTATGTGTATGTGTATGTGTATGTGTATGTGTATGTGTATGTGTATGTGTATGTGTATGTGTATGTGTATGTGTATGTGTATGTGTATGTGTATGTGTATGTGTATGTGTATGTGTATGTGTATGTGTATGTGTATGTGTATGTGTATGTGTATGTGTATGTGTATGTGTATGTGTATGTGTATGTGTATGTGTATGTGGATGTGGATGTGGATGTGGATGTGGATGTGGATGTGGATGTGGATGTGCATGTGCATGTGCATGTGCATGTGCACGTGCATGTTATATACTACATATAATTTAAGTTAATATGTTTGTACATTGTTTATATGGAGTATATGTGTATATGTATGTTTGAGAATGTATTTATAACGGGGAAGGGACGGAGACGGGGGCGGGGCGGGGCGGCTGTAGCAATTCCCGTCCCCCGCCCCATATTTTAACGGGGTAAAAATTTCCCTCCCACCCCCACCCCAAGCCCCTCTCCATCCTCCCCCCGCTAGGCGGTTCCCCACGGGTCCCCGCCCCCATTGCCATACTTAGACATCCCCACCTGAAACCAAGGTAAATTTCACTTCTAGACGACTTTTTCCAACATTGACATTCAGCTCATTGGTTGAGCATGACTTCCCTCTACATCAGGGTTTGAGTCTCGTCTCCACCATTTTCGTTTCTTCTTCTTCTTTTTCTTCATTTTGCTCCTTATTTGCTTTGAAGGAAATTCCACTTTTATTGACATTCAACTTGAAATTTTATTCTCTTCTTTTCCTTATGCACATATGATCCAAATAGCATCAAAAGTTGTTGAAAATATAAAATACACGTATAGGACCGCACTAAACAAACTAACAACAAATAATAAAAAAATATGTACAAAAATACAACTTTAATAACTAAAATGATCAATAAACTAAATCTAAAAAGTGTGCAAAATATAAATACATCAGTTATAAAGCATGTCATTAGATAAATAAGTCTAACACTTATTCCAAACTTCTTTTGATGAAGTATATGGCCCAGAGACCCCGGCCCACATACTCCTACTTCGCCCAATGAGACCAATATCACAATGACTTCCTTCGAATGTGACAAATACACATTTACAAAATTCAGTCAGTGGCCAAAAAACCGTCACTAACAAAAAATCATTAGTGACTTGTCGTTGCCTATCACAGTTACCGATCCGTAGTGACAATTTTTCAAACCGCCAACGCCACTGCCTATCACCACCGTCTCCACACTCAATAAGCAATGTTGCTCCATCAAGTCGCCGCCGCCACCCTTCATAGTCACCACGACCGATAGTGACTCCGGTGACCACCAAGCATATCCATTCTCTGGCCAGTGACCTCTGCTCCACCACTTCCGGTGACCACCCCCACCATCGTCCTGTGGCTGCCCCCTCCCTAGCTTCCCCAGCCACCTCTCCATTCCCCCTCCCCAACTTCGAACAGCCCAACCCAGCCGCTCTCCAGTGACCTCCGTCCCACCTCTTCCGGTGACCGCCACCACTGTCGTCATGTGGCCACCGCCCTCCATAGCTTCCCCAGCCACCTCTCCACCCCCTCCCTATCCCCGATCTACCCTTCCTTAGCTTCGAACAGCCCAACCAGCCATCCTCCATCCGTCTCCAGCCCCATCCCAGCCCGATCTAGCCCCAAACACTAGTCATCCAGATCAGATCTAGACTGTAACCGCCGCAACGAAGCCTAAGACACCATAAATGGAACACTATTATTATCAGTCACCTATTACCTTCCCTACGACCAAACAGAACGAGAAGATAAAGAAATCGGCCAAAGGTAGCGTCGAAGGCGACGACGTCACATGAGAGAGAGCGGCGGAGCAACGGATGGCGGTGCAGTGACCGTAATGGTGTGCGACGCGAGGTGGTGGCATGCGTGATGCAGCTGTGCGACGGCGCTTTGCTGTGAGGAGAACCAGACTTAGACGAGAAAGAAGAGATGCATAGTTCCGATCCGATCAAGAAGCGATTGCAGAGTTGTTGGGCTTTTACGACCTGTTTGGATTGAGTGTTAAGGGGTGTTAGTAAAAGAAGTGTTATGGAGTGTTTATCTTAACACTTGTTTGAGAGAAGAATTAAACGATTTTAAAGGTGTTAGTAAGTGTTTGAGGGTGTTAATCATAACCTTCCTAACACTTATATTTACCATTTTTTTAACAACCTTTGCCCTTATTATTTCTAAAATAAGGGCCTGTTTGGATGAAGTGTTTGGAGGTGTTAGTAATGGAAGTATTAGTAAGTGTTAGTAAGGGTCTGGAAGGGAAGAGAAGTATAAGGGTTGGACATAATTTTACCTTGTTTGAGAGAGCCAAATGTATGAAGTGTTAATTATGGAGTTATTAATAATTTTACTTTGAGGCAAAAGAAACGAGTAAAGAGAAGAGATGAAAAAGATAGATCATGAGACCTGCGGGAAAGAGATTCAAAGTGAAATGTCGAAGCATTTTATGTTTTTAGGATAAATAAGAAGGGTAATAATTGTCCAACACCTCAAAACACTTCAAATCAGACTGTTCTAAAAGTGGACAGTTGAGGTGTTTGGGAAAATTATTATTATTAACACTTTCTAACATTTACTAACACTTCTTAACACCTCTTAAATTTTCTTCCAAACAAGTATTATTACCAATACTTACTAACACTTCCATTCCTAACACTAAATGCAAACGGGGCGTAAGATTCAATTATACGGAGTACTTTATACCCCACGTTCTTCCCCATTCTTCATCCGCAGCGGACAGAGAGCCGATTTTTCTTCTTCTTCTCAGATTTGTCCTCTCTTTTTTGTCTTCTCTTTTTTTCGGTTTTTCTATGGACGGTTATGAAATTTGGGATAACAGTTCCTCTATTATTTTTTGGACTGTGAAGTATTTTAATATTTCGTATATAAAGCTGGACAAATTGATCTTATTCAACTATCGAATGGGGTAGGTCAACCCCAGTTCTTCACAGACTGTTGTAAAATTTTGGGTCTTTTCTATGAAATACATATGGGTTTCATTTTTTGGTGGCATCAATCTCAGCTATTGATTTCTTTCATCACAATTTTAATTATCAAATGTACGAATAGTTAAAAGTTGCAAAATAGAGAAGATGACCGACCTGGCGACCTGTGAGTTCTAGATGTCCAGGGGCTTCTTTGATTTTTTCATCTACTGGTATTATGCAATCATGGATACTTAATACTCTATCCTTTCCCAAAAATACTTCTCACTTTCCTTTTTAGGCCGTTACAAAAAATAGTTCCCAATTTCCCCATTTGGACAATTTATATGATTCACATTCATTTTACCTTTTTCTTACACAACCACAACCACACATTTCTACTTTCTTAATAATCGTGTCATTCAAACTTGGAAGAATTTTTAGGAACGGAGGTAGTAACAATTTAAAAGATATAAGGATAATTTTGTTAATTTAAGTGTAAACACTTCCATTAGTAACACTTCTTTTTTTAACTCCCTCAAACAAGGTAAGATTATGTCCAACACTTACACTTACCTCCCCTTTCGGGCTCCTGCCAACTTTTACTAACACTTCCATTACTAACACCTTCCAACACTCCATCCAAACAGACCATTATTTGGACGGGAATTACTTGGAGGGCACTTTAGTCTTTTAATTTTTATTTGATCTGTTTTTTGTTCATACGGAAATCTAGTCTCATTTTTGTCAATTGGAAGCCTCATTGTATTATTTTGGTCATTCTTTTGAAGGAATAGTTATTGAAGTTTGACCATTTGAAATTTTGAATTCTAAATTGACAAAGTTTAGAGCCCGTTTGGTAGCACGAAAATCGGTTGTTTTGGCTGATTCTGCTGAAATTTCTGAAGTTCTGGCTGAAGTGACTGCATTGACTGATTCTGCTAATTTAAGAAACAATTATTTTTAAAATATATTTTATTAATAAAATAAAGAAAAAATTATATGTAAAAATAACAAAAATGGTCATCTATAGTAACTTCAATCAAAACAGCCAGAAAAGTAACTTCAATCTTCCTTTTTCTGCTTATTACACAACTCAACGCGCGAAAGTAAAAATTACATGTTTGGTGAAAAAGTTGGCCGATAAGCCGAAAAATAGTTACACCTCATTCCCGTAATAAAATTGGGAGAAAAAGTTAACAAATTCTTTAAGGTGGGATCATGTAAATTTTCTTTTTTTCAATCTCTTTTCTTTCAAAGGGAGAATTTTCTTTCGGAACAGCGGAAAGAAACAGAAGTGACTATCCCAAGACAGATCACGCACTTTGAGAGTTTAATGTAAAGTTACAGTGATTCAGAGAGTGGGCCCACGAGTCAACACATCAGCCATCACCTCCTTAACTCAGTTTTCTTCCTCTCAGCTGTTTCCTCATACCTTCTGCATGGTCTGGGCTGCTATGGCTACTCTTTCCCCTTCATCTCTCAGGAAGCCAGGAGTCTCAGACTTGTATGTTGTATAGATAGATAGAATCCCGTATCTCTATAGGTCCCCAACTTCTCTGTGTAGCAATTCTTGTCGGCTGGTCATTCCTTTTCCGTACCGGGCTCTTCACTAAAATCCAAGATCTTCCCCAGTTCCATCGTTCAGGTACTGTCACCAGATCTCATATTCGTTTTTTTCAGTTTCTTTGGTGCTCAAATTTACCATTTTTGTCTCTTGAATTCATATATCAGGTGATCAGCTCTTCAATTACTCCATGTTTTCTCTGTGATTGTTAGGTTTTCATCTCTTCATTAATTTAATATTTTTCTTTGTGTTTTTTATTCAATTTGGGCTAGTATTTATTTACTTTTTCTGGAATCGTGTTAAAGTTAGGAACTTTGTACAGTTTTCTTTCTCCAGTGTTAATTCCCCTGTCTTAATTAGAATATTGTTTTCTCTGATTTTAGGTTCAGCTATGTTTTACCTAGACGCTTGTTTGATCTGTATGATGTTTTGGTTCAATTAAGTTTTTTGTTTTGTTTTCAATTCTTGGGTGACCATTTATCACTGTCATTCTCCTGTATTATATCAATCCCTGCACTTGCTAAATTCTTTTTTGGTATTTAGGACTTTTAATTTGATACAGAGTCATTGGAACCTTGAAGAATGCATGTGTAGGTTTGGCACATAGATAAATTGATCTTAAATAATTGTGGAGGTTGGGTTGTGGAGACTTCTATGGGGACTTCTAATTCTAGGGCTGAAGAAAATAAGGCCTTACAGATATGCCGGGACAGGAAAAAGATTGTCAGACAAGCACTTGACGGACGGTGTTCTTTGGCAGCTACTCATGTTGCTTATATAGATTCTTTGAAAATAACAGGAAATGCTTTGAGGAAATTTGTTGAACCCGAAGCTCAGTTTGAATCTGCAATCTATACTCCAACTGAAAGATCCCTTTCCCAATTCTCATTCTCTCCTGTGCCTAAATCATCACACCATGTGGATGGCAGTGAGAATGCATTGCCGTCTCCTTCACCCTCAACCTCAACGAGATACAATGCAAATCACATGAAATTTAGCGGTACCTTCTCAAAGAAAGTTGAAGAAACCCCCGCTGTTCCAGTCACTGTCACTGTTACCTCACTCACTCCTCAGAACTCGATGCCTCATTCCACAGGAAAGCACGAAACATCACCATTTGAAACCCCTCCTTGGGATTTTTTTGGTCTTGGCCACACATCTGAAGATCATATTAGAGAGAATGGGGAGGAAGGCAGCGAAATTCCTCTGTCAGGGGATGATCAACAAAATGTTTGGTCACCTGGAAGAGATTCACCACACGAGTCTGATGATGGGTTTGATGATCCATCTACAGAGACACTAGTTAGGAAGTTTGAAAATGTCAACAGGGCGAATGAAGCATCTGCTGCTGATGATCAGAGTGTAGCATTGGTAGTGAAGGGCGTGGATGGGGAGAAATGTGGTTCCCCTGAATTGTCACCACTTGGACCCGAGTTTTCAGGGGTTGCCACTGCTGAAGATGATGTCAAGACAGTAATGAAGGAAAATGGTGTTGAAAATAAGGTTCTACCTAAGGACTTTTTTTCTAGCATGAGAGACATTGAACGGCTGTTTATAAAAGCATCTGAATCTGGAAGGGAGGTTCCACTGATGCTGGAAGCGAATAAATTTAATTTTCGCCCTATTATTCCCGGTGCTAGAAGTAATCTCTCTCTCTCTCTCTCTCTCTCTCTCTCTCTCAGAGACTCAGACACACACTCTCTTACTCAACCACATACATGTATATGACTAAATTGTTTTTACTGGAAAATGTTTTCTAGGCACCATTTCTTTTCAAGGAAATATTGTCCTGAAAAATGTTTCTCTAGATTTTCTTGTATTTGAGATTGGAACACATTTTAAAGGATAACATTTTTTGTGGTCCTTTGAAATTTTGTGGAGAATGACTTCTTTTTTGAGTCATTTTCCTGTAACTGATTTATGTTTTCTGTTATCGTTGGTTAAACATTGTATTACGGAGATACAGAGTATAATCATAACAACTTATTTTCCAATATTTACAGCAAAAGTCATTTTCTTTTCAATGAAACAAGTTACTTCCCCGCAATAAAGAGACATATGTGCATGTGCATATTGTAGGTTGTTTCGTTAAATTTCTTGGCACCGTTAATGGCAATGGTGCAGAATATTAAGCTTCTTTGCATGAATGCGTAGTTTCAATAAATATTTTTCATTTGAAATTTGGGCTATGCTTGCGGCAGACTAGTTAGGGTTGAAATTTGAAAGTTGGGTGAGGGGATTGTCCGGGATTTACATTTTGTCAATTGTTATAAGAATATGAGATTTGTTATGAACTTGAAGAAATCCTTAGTTACTTAGTTCCCGATATAAATCGTATGGACTTTTTAAGCTAAGGTCTCTATTTGATGGGGGATATCTGTTTTATGTAGGAGGTTCAATTGCCAAGACATTGCTAAGGTCTTGTTTCTCTTGCGGTGCAGATCCAAGCCAAGTTCCAGAAGGTAGGCCCCTCAATTTTCTATTATGGTTGGCTTTCCACCATAATGGCATACTGTATTTTGTAATTGTTGGTTTTACTTAACCATCACCATCACCTCAATCCGAATTATGTTGGGCTAGGAGATATAAAATTTATAATGTTAATATATTTTTATATTTGTGAAGTGTTTTTAGGAAGATCCTTTGCAAATGAAGTACATCATTTGGAATAAAAAGGGATTAATGTTTTTCCCTTGTTTGATAATAAACCATTATCCTTTTTGTTCATATTAAAGATATCTCCTTTAGTTACCTATCTTGTTTTGAATATCCTTACCCTCTAAGCCCTATTTAAAATGTCGACGTTGTTTTTATCTCTGTTCAGAGAAAGATGAAGCGCCTCAAAGTTCCCCCAAGTATATGACATGGCATCGCACAACTTCGTTTTCTTCTTCATCAAGAAACCTGCTGGGTGTGAACTCAACTGATGAACACACCAAAAATCTCTTTGATAACTTCTGTATGAACTCAGGAAGTCATGCCTCAACCTTAGACCGGTTGCATGCTTGGGAGAAAAAACTCTATGACGAAGTCAAGGTGTGTATACTACTATACTACTATACTTCATCAGTCCCAAAAAAGAATCCTGTTTCAAACACTTGTTTTGTCCCCAAAAATAAAGCCACAAATAAGTTGCAAATAGTAAATTTAGTAGACTGGTACAATAGCGGACTCGGGCCTGGGCTGGCCTATCACTGTTTTTTCGCCACTGGTGAGGCCCAAATCGGGCTTATTGGGCTGGACGGGCCTACACTTTTCCCAAGTCCGTCCATAATGACAGCAGGCCTGCCCCCGCCTGTCGGCTGAATATATAAGTCCACAACGACCTGTTTTTATGGATGTGTTGGACGGAATGAACAGGCTGGCGTGCGTTTGTACTTTGTACAGATCTAACATTTAGTTAAAATAAAAATAGCACAGTTCATAGGGCAGCCCGGTGCACATTGGCGTCCTTGCAAAGCGAGAGTCCGGAGAAGGGTCCCACCACACAAAGCCGGCTTTAGGTGGGAGGCACCTAGGCATATGCCTAGGGCACCACTATCACATGGGGCACCAATTTTCAAAAATAAAACTACTATTATAAGATAATTTATATATAGTATTTGGGAGGGAAATTTGATAAGAACAGAAAAAATAAAATCAACGGGGTGAACCGTTGCCCGATAATCAACGATAAATAAATACCGTTGACCAGAGCCAAAAGGCTAAACCACTTTTTTTTTTTTTTTTTGGCTAAACCAACTTTTATTCCAAGATGATCAAGAATGAAGCATACAAGGGGTATAAATAACCCTCTAGGTCTAATAAGAATAGGAATCCTAATTAAATTATTCTAGGAAACTAAATAGAATAGGAAACATCTAGTTCTAATAGAACTCCTAATTAAATCATTCTAGGAAACTAAATAGAAATAGGAAACCTCTAATTGTAATAAGAATAGAAGTCCTAAATAAATCCTACTAGGAAACAAATTAAATTAGGAAACAAAATAAAAGGAACAATAAATATTAATTAAACAGCCCGCAACCAGCCCACGGAGGTGGGCTCTAGCCCGTCCCGCCTTCGGTAAACCCACGGGGGCTTCTGCCCCTCTTCTTCCAATCCCAAATTCTGCTTCATATCAATTCCATCCCCCTTCGAAAAAACCTTGTTCTCAAGGTTGAAATCCGGAAACCGGCTGACATTTGTTCCCGGTGGCTGCCTAGTATCTTTAGGAAAAATTGAGATGTACTCCTCCATAGTCCCTGTCTGCTTGCCTCCGGATAGCCGTTCAAAGCAATTGCCCTTAAACCGTGAGTCAAAACGAGCCACTAATGCTTGTGTAAGCTCATCCCATGACATGCCCGGCTTTCGTGCTCGTAACGAGGTCAACCGGTACAGGGCT